CTTAACACAAACTATGCTGCAACTCATGAGTAAACGATGCTAAATGCTGAACGATTCAGCTGAATACTAGCTAAAGCATGTCGGCTTTAGCTAGTTGTTGGCTAAAGCTGACATGCTTTAGCCAACAACTAGCTAAAGCCGACATGCTTTAGCTAGTTTTCAGCTGAATCGTTCAGCATTTAACATCGTTTACTCATGAGTTGCAGCATAGTTTGTGTTAACTCATGATCTGGTTGAATAAAGTGAGACGGACTCTACGTCAACAAGAAGCTTTTGTCTTTACGATTTCATAAATTAGGAGTGAGTCAGTAAATAGAAAATTTGTGGTTTAATCCAACATAATTGTGACTGAATTACAGTTAATCTCATGGAAATAAATCCCCAAAGTGACAGACAGGAATATATATTACAATGTGCCTTGGTAAAATAATACAGTCGGCTTCTGTTTGACTCAAAATAAGCACTGGAGGAGAAAAGTGATACTTGTTGATTTTATTGTAAATTGGACAATATGCACATTATTGAGCGACTCGTGTCTTGTTCGGTGGCCAGGACTCTCGGCGCTGAGTGAGGGTTGGAACGGTCGAGACAGGACAGACGGTGAGGAAGAACCAGAAGAAGAGAACAAGAACGCAGAGCGTCGGTGAGCTGGGCCAGAAGAACCCGTCTGGACTCCAGCAGCTTTTTGTTTTCATCAACCGTGGACTTTCATTAAGTTTGACCTCTTTTTGTAAATGAAGACAAAGTCTCCCAAAAACGTTTTGTTTTCTCTACAATCCCAAATTCAAACAGCCCCCCCCCCCGCATCAGGTCAAATTAAAGGTGTGGTCTCACAGACACGTTGCGCACGTGGCCATGTTGCATACAAGGTTTGCTTCTTATTCCTATGTCTTCCAATGTGTTTACTGCCCCGACTAGAACCCCCTTATTCCCACAGATGTGACACAGAGGAGTCAGGAGTGTGAGTGGACAGAAGGGACGTGACGTCTGAGACAAACCGTCCTTTGTCCATCTGCTCTAATTATTGTACAAAGACGATACAACTATCCAGTCATGCAACATTGTTTGGAGGGACGTGGGGGGTCAGGGTGGTCCGTCTGTACTCGTCTCTGCTGGTTAGGCGTTCTGCATCTCTTTTCCAATCTTGTAGCTCAGGATCTTGTTCCAGTCGATCTTGGTGCGGGTCACAGGAAGCTGGCGGCGTAAGGCTTTGAAGGTAGTGTCCGACATGGTCTGGTAGTTCTCGTTGATGGCCGTCTACAAGAAGAGGTGGAGAAGACGAAGTTACCGAGAGGAGTCACGAAACACGGAGCTCAATGACTCGGACAGCTGCAGATGAAAAGTGAGCAGCTGTTGTGTCAGGACCGGTTTCCACCACATCTACGCTCAGCAACCAGCACCTCGTTTTGACCTCGACCTTTAGCTGTGACCTTGACCTTCAAGCTGGGGTCATGAAAAGATTACACGACACTCCGTGAGTGCTGGAACGATTTCATCTCAAGTTTCATTAAAATATCTTGAGTGGATCAGAAGTTACGGTCCAGACAAGAGACAGTGACGATGTTCTTATTAAACAAAGACCCGTGCATCGTCCCCCTCACGCTGGACAACCACATGAAGACAACGTCCCCCTCACGCTGGACAACCACCTGAAGACAACGT